TGTGTTCATGATTTAATCTAAATAGAAAGAGGGAAGGAAAAAGAGAACTGTTATTTGGATATCTGTTTTGTACCTGATGCTTTCCATATTATCTTTAGTCCTCACTAAAATTGTGTGAGGTCATGTTATTTTCCCCATTTTATAGATGAGCAAACTGAGGCAGAGAGGTATCACAGTAAGTAGCTAAACAAGAATTCAGACTTACTTGTCTGACTTTAAGGCTCATGCTCTTTGCAGATGTTGTCCTTTTAGTACGTACTAAATTGAAGGTATAATTTCTTGTTAATGACATGTATTTTAATCTTTTCATCTTTCACTTTTACTCTTGTCAGGCCTATCTTTTGGGTTTCTGATGAACTTTTGTTTTTATAAAAATGGCATATACTTATTAGAACATTTAAACATATGGAAAAGTATAAAGATGAAGAAATCTAAAATCTTACCAACCAAAGGTACTCTTGATATTTGACATTTTCTAATGCATTTTTTACATAATTGAAATCATATTGTAATTTTGAACCTTGAATTTTCACCATGATAATATAGGCATTTTCTTTATATGGTTGGCAACACATATTACCTGATACGTATGTAGCATGATATATCATAAGTCAAGGGATTATTTCCCCTTGGGCATTTAAGTGCTTTTACTTTTTTCCTTTTGCAAATACCATTGAGATCAAGAACATTCTTGTACATAACCAGTCAGGATGTTCCTTGATTTCTCCACTAACCCTTCCCACATGCACACACACACACCCACGCATCCCATCCTGCCCACCAATAAGGACATAGAGTCAAATTTGTGTTTATGAGTTACTCAGATAGTCTTTGTCCCTTTGTCCTTCTTTTCTTCCTATCTTCCACTTGAATATGCTTACAGTATTTTTAAAGTACAATTAGGTTCATTTGTTTAAGTTTCCTTTCAATTTTAGATGCTTCCCCTTTTCTCATTCTTTCTCATTTTGTTTTTTATGTATGTAGAGTATTAACATGCTTTCCAAAGTCAAAACTATTCAAAGCCAACCCCTCCTCTTGTGTACCACATCTGCTTTCATCTTCTCAGGATTCTGCTCTAGCAATTGTCTGTCCTTACTGCACCATCAGTAGTTTTCTTTTTTCTGCGTTATTGTCACTAGTGGATAAGCTTGCTGAGTTTTCTCTTACCTTAATAAAAAAACAAAACCTGGTTACAACCTGGTTTCTTTCCTACCTCAGTGGTTCTTCTTTTTAATCTCCTTTATTGGTTTCTTTTACATTTCCTTGTCTTCTTAGTGGTCTCTGACCATAGTCTTTGAGCCATTTGATTTTCTGTCTTCATCTTGCAACCACAAATATCTATAACATTGGTGATTACCAAATTTGTATCTGCAGCTACAGAATGAGATTTCAATATCTGACTACCTAATTGGCATCTCTTCTTGGATTATCTAATAGTCATCTCTTAATTAAACTGTTCAAAGCCTAAATTCTGATCCTTAATCCCAAACTTATTTTTCCCTCTTTTTCTTTACCCTGAAAAATGGCAACTCTATCCTTCCATTTACTCAGAGTAAAAACCTTGAGTCATCCTTGACTTCATTCTGTTTAATCAGCTCCTGTTGGCTTTACCTTTAGGATATATCTAGATTGTTCCCTTTCTGCCACTTCCTACTTTTCCTTCTTGATTCAAGACATATATTCTTTTTTTTTTTAATTTTTTTTTTCAACGTTTATTTATTTTTGGGACAGAGAGAGACAGAGCATGAACGGGCGAGGGGCAGAGAGAGAGGGAGACACAGAATCGGAAACAGGCTCCAGGCTCTGAGCCATCAGCCCAGAGCCCGACGCGGGGCTCGAACTCACGGACCGCGAGATCGCGACCTGGCTGAAGTCGGACGCTTAACCGACTGCGCCACCCAGGCGCCCCAAGACATATATTTTTGAAGAAGGCAACATCTTCTCTTACCTGGAGTATCGCAATAACCTCCTGTCTGGGCTGCCTGCTTCTGTCCATGTCCACCCTTTCATATATTCTCAGTGGAGTGACCGTTAAAAGTTGAAGTTTCCTATTCTAGTTAAAACCATCTCCAATCACCAATCACTTTCATTTTTACTCATAGTAAAAACCAGAGTCCTTAGAGTGGCTTTAAAGGTCCCACATGATTTGTCCCCTCTTATTTCTCTAACTTACTCCATCTGCTTTTAGTCTTGCCTTTTTGTTCATTTCCTGTAGCCACATTAACCTTCTTGCTATTTCTCAGACATGCCAAGCATGTTCCCACCTCAACTTTTTTACCTTTGCTTCTCCTTGGCCTAGAGCTTTCTTTTCATTAGATATTTATATAGCTACCTCCTTCACTTCCTTCAGATCTTTTTGCCCACGTGTCATCTTTTCACTGAGGATTTTCCTGTCCATCCCTTTAAAAATTAAAAGGTCCTCTGCTTGCGCCTGCTATCTTATTACTATATTGCTTTGTTTTTTTTCCTCCATAGTCAGAATCTGGCTTACTATATATTTAACTTATTTTTTTCATTCTTTTCAGAACCCAGCCCCCTTAAGTTCCATGAAGGCAGAGATTTTTATCTGTTTTGTTCATTGTCATATATCCATTGTCTGTTAATTTATAGGTATCAATTAAAATTTATTGAATGAACGAATGAATGTAATGGTTAAGGCCTTGTAGAATCAAGTCCCTTCATTGTCCTTTCAGATTTATCTTCTACTCTTCTGGCCCTCTTCTTACATTGTAGATGCTGATCTTTTTTCCGTTCTATTTTATACCATGCTCCCTCCTTCCTGAGAACCTTCCTTTGTATGTTTTATTCCCACTACTTGGAACACTCTTTCTTCCCTGACTCCCTTCTTTTCCTTGCCCAGTTAATTTCTACTCATTCTTAGATATCAGCTCAAAAGTCCCTGTTTTCAGAGAAGCTCTAGATTAAAGCCCTGTACTGTATTCTCTTAATCATGCTTTTTGGTGTTCTGTCTACCAGCTGAATTGAGAACTGCACAAAGGCAAGGACTTCTTGAGTGTACTGCTTGTCAGTATATGTGTATGAATAGTGAATTCTCAGTAAGTAGGCATTGAATGCTCCCTTCTAGCTCTAATAGTGTGCCTTGAGGTAGTGGCAAGGCATTCCTATATGATTAGGGGTGGGAACCTATCAGGAAACATCATAGTATTAAACCAAACATGATTGGTGGTAAGTATAATATAACCTGGCATCACTGGTCAAATATGGGTTAAATATGAATTCTGCATTTTTCAGTTGACCTTCTGTGAAAAAATATGAATCCAGATAAAATATGGCTCAAAAAATTCTGGTTTAGAGTCAATGGGAAGCATGTGTATATTGGTAGGTATTCTTGTTGATGTATAGGGCATAACCTGTATATCTTATTCCTTTAATATTTAGTTTCAAAAAATGGTAGAAGACTGGCTGATAACTCTTGTTACCCGGTAGTTAATTTTATCAGTAGTTTCATTTTTGAAAAAAGCACTTCCTGGGCAGTTAGCAGTTTTTCATTTTTTAGGGCTGTTTGATTTATTTACTTTTTCATTTGAACAGTTTTTATTTAAAGTTGAATATAAGATTACTTTATTCCTTCATCTTTTCAATTGTTTCTTCCTTATATTTGCCCTTTTCCTACTTGGCGAGATTTGGCTTTATGTTCAAGGATCCTTTTGTGGTGTTTTTCTAGTTTTAGTCTAGTGATGGCCATCTTGCCAGGATGAATGCCCACATGGACAATTGTGCCATTTGCCTTCTGTCACAGTACTTGTTCAGTGTAGATGACCTGGAGTACTTTGCCAATTTGCTGACATTTGTAGTGTCTGTGCACAACCTGTAGTTCATCATCCTTTCAGATGGGCGTGAATTGAACATTGTACTTCCATCTCAGCTCTTTTATTATTACTCTTATCATCATAATTAGTTGAGATATTGGGCAAATATGTTAGTTTCTCATTATGTTTACTCATCTAAACAGTGGAAATAAAAATAGTATTGACCCTAATGGGTTATCGTGGGAATTAGATGAAGTAATAATGCTTGCAAACAAAGAACCTGGTACGTAGTAAACCCTTGGAAAATGTCCAGTATTATTTAAAATTTTATTGTTACTTGCAATCTTTTTTCTTAGGTTTAAGAATTTTCATTTTTCATCATCGAGAATCTGTGTTCTTTGATTAGAATTTAGGGTCCACTCTCCCATGTGACTTTTGGCACTTTCATTAAACACTCTATACTTCATTTAGTTGAACTACAGAAAGGGTAAATGGTATTTGCACAGCCAATTTAGGATTATAAATAATTGGTATCTTTAAATGTCACATAGGAAACACTGAAATTGGCTGCCAAGTAGAGTTGCATGATCCTCTTTGTCAGAGACCTTTTAGAGAAAGATTTGTGTACTCTGATATATTCCTGAATGATCTGGGTTGGTTTTTAAAGCTGGGAATCTCTGGATGATTCTAAAAGGAGTACTGATAACTTTTGATATTGTTCTTGAAATGATAAATGGTAGCAACACTGATGCTACTTCTAAAGAGTCCCCTTAACCTTCTTTGTAGGTTGGTTCATAGAAGAGTGTCTCTTTCTGCCAGAAAGAGAATATCTCTTTCTGCCAAGTGGTCTGTAGCAAAGTGAATATAATGTGATGTGGGATGGCTTTGAGCTATCCCCACTGCCTCACATAGTACCTGGAAATAGTAGACACTACTTAAATATTCATAAATTTGAAAGGCAGTAAGAACCAGAGTTTGATTGTATATGGGAATATGATATTCAAATGTATGCTGAAAATACTGCAGGCTTTATGTAAGAGAGCTATGGATAAGAGATCAAAACAGTAATAACAAAAATGCATCAAAAAACATGGATTAAAGTAGAGCTTGTCACTGCAGTTTTGTGTTTCTTTGTGCTGCTATTACATTTTTAATGCTCTGTATATTTGCAAGAATAACTGTGGTACAATAACTGACACTAAAATAAATGCAATATATATTCTCTTTCAGATTTACTAAGAATTTATCTCCTGACAAGATAAATCTGAGTACCCTCAAAGGAGAAGGTGAATTGAAGAATTTGGAGCTGGATGAAGAGGTGCTCCAGAATATGTTGGATTTGCCAACATGGCTTGCTATCAACAAAGTTTTTTGTAATAAAGCATCTATTAGGGTGAGATTTTGATATCTGTGGAAAGCATTTTCTATTTTCAGTTTTTATTTCATTCCTATTTCTTAAGTATTTTGTTATAGATCTATAAAAAGGCATTTTTATTAATATAATTTAAAAAGACAAATAACTATGTTTAAATAATTGCATGAATGTGTGTCTGGTGAACTTAATGAAGTCATATGCTAATATAATAGTAATTTATAGTTTAAAGTTTAATCCTAACATTTAAGTAACATTACTGATAGTTTTTTTTAAATTTATTTTTTAATATTTTTTTAGTTTTGAGAGAGAGACAGAGAGTGAGTGGGTAGGGGTAGAGAGAGAGGGAGACACAGAATCCGAAGCAGGCTTCAGGCTCTGAGCTGTCAGCACAGAGCCCAACATGAGGCTTGAACCCACAAACCGTGAGATCATGACCTGAGCCAAAGTTGGACGCTTAGCCAACTGAGTCACCCAGGCGCCCCCATTACTGGTAGTTTATTAATAAAATAATTGACTAAATTTGGCACATATTCAAAGATATTTTTTCATAATATTTGTTAATTGGGACAATTTAAATTTGTAGTAAGTAAACACAATTTCAAATAAAGACATGAAGACACACATCTTACTCTGTACATTATACTTTTATTTGAAATTTTCTTTTACTCATTTGTTTCTTCCTTGAGGATTTTTAAGTTTATTATTTCTCCTCATTATTATTGTTATTTTTCCTTATTAAAATTTATTCCTACTTACCTTTGAATTTAATCGTATGTCATATCACTTCTTGCTCTTAAAGACCAGGTGTTTTGAGAGTCTACTCAGTAGAAATAGTGCATGAGTAATCTGTTTCATAAAATTAAAATTAGACTCGAAAGAAAAGAGTGTGGAAAGGTTCCTATATCCTTTGATGGTCGCCTTTAATTTTTGTTATATCCTCCATAAACCCAAATATCTATAAAGATGTGATTTTTCAGTGTAAGGCAGGCTTGGACATTAGTTATTTGATATTACCTACATTTTACATAAATAGCCTCGTTTGTGTATTTTTCTTGAATATCTACAAAAATATTGGTCAGAATTTTATTTTCTTTTATTTTTAATTTTTAAAAAAGATTTTATTTTTAAGTAATCTCCACACACCATATGGAGCTTGAACTCATGACTCTGAGATCAAAAGTCACATGCTTTTCTGACTGAGCCAGCCAGGTGCCCCATGGTCAGACTTTTAGAATTGAAAAAACTGTTAAATGAACAAAACACCCATCATGCTTTGCTGGGAAATCTTAAATTATGACGTTAAGGGGTGCCTGGCTGGCTCAGTCTGTAGAGCATGTGATTTTTTAATCTCAGGGTCATGACTGTAAGTCCCACATTGGGTATGGAGCCTGAAAGAAAGAAGAAAAAGAAAGAAAGAAAGAGAGAGAAAGAAAGGAAGGAAGGAAGGAAGGGAGGGAGGGAGGAAGGAAGAAAGGGAGGGAGGAAGGAAGGGGAAGGAAGGGAAAGGAAGGAAGGAAGGAAAAGAAAGAAAGACGGAGGGAGGGAGGAAGGAAGGAAGAAAGAAGTTAACATATTTTTAAGGTCTGGAAAAAAAGAAACTTAAGAGGACCTGAAATTCTTATTTTAAAAGATAACCAAGAAAATAATGATTAGTAGTCTTTTCGTATACAAAACAGGTACATCTGATTTTAAGAGTCTGAATGAATTTCTCAGTTCATTATTTTGCAATTTGAGAAAAAAGCCATCTGATAAAATTTGGTATGTCTATCACTAAATTAAGAGAGCATCTTGGGAGCCTGCGTGGCATAGTCAGTTAAGGTGTCTGATTCTTGATTTTGGCTCAGGTCATGATCTCACGATCCTGATATTGAGCCCCACGTTCGGCTCTGTGCTGACAGGACAGAGCCTGCTTCTCTCTGCCCCACCCCGCTCACGCGTGGGAGCGTGGGCGTGCTCTCTAAGTAAATAAACTTTTTTTTTTTAAAGAGAGAACATCTGTGTTGATTGCTATTTTTTTAGTGATTGATTTTAAAGAAAACAATTTTTGTTTTTTTAATTTTTCTTTGGTAGATCCCATGGACAAAATTGAAAACACATCCCATCTGTTTGGTGAGTTCTGACTTACCTCAGAAATAAACATTTATATATGGTATGATTTAAGTACTTTGCTAATATTAATGCTTTATTTCATAGAAATATGATCTTCTGGCTTTTCCACTAATTAGCTTTCATTTTATTTGAATAGTACTTAGTTTTCTCAGCCCTTAAATGAGAAGTTTGAACTTAAAATGGGAGGGTCTTTAAATTTTCACATGTGTTATGTTGTAAGTTGGTATATTTTTATTGTATCATTTAGCTCTTTATTGATATACTATGGCAGTATATATGGCAGTAAATAACATTTAATTTATGCTTTCTGTGTTCCTGATTTTAATCATCTAGCAAATTAAATAATATGCACATTAATATACTTTTCTTTTTTAAAGAAAATTTAAGAAAGATTGGTCATTTGGTTACTTATTGATTCATTTATTCCACAAATATTTATTGAGCACCTTCCCCATTTCCTGAGGGAGCTTAATATTTTTATAGAGGAGACTGACAATGAATAAGTAAACAAATAAGATAATTTCAGATAATAAATGCTATATTAAAATAGAGAATGAAGAATGACTAAGTTTTGTTAGTGATGACTACCAAAGACATTTGATCTTCAACAAAAACTGTTATCTTGAAAGAAATTTTTTCATTATGGGAATGTCTTTCCACATTTCTTTCATATTTCATATTTTTAATTGTTATATGTCTTAAATCTCAAGTCTTAGATTGGTAGGTCCCATTCATTAATACATAATCTCATTTAGCAATTAATAATGTTATACATTCTGGGACTAGAGATTGCACTCCTGTAAAATCTATTGATTTCACCAGCATATGGCTACTTGTAGTTTTTTTCTTTCATAATCGTATATGCCCACAGCCTTTTTTTTTTTTTTTTTTTTTTTTTTTTTTTTTTTTTTTTTTTTTTTTTTTTAAATCAGGTAATAAGTTCCTTGAGAAACGACTGAGCACATTGTTTTCTGTTTTGGTATTTGTTTAAAAGACATTTAAAGTGACTCTGCTTACTTACTGTTTACTTTGTTCCTAAAGAAATGAAAGAGAAAATAGCATTACATAATATTTCAAAACATACATAAAATAAAATACTGTATCTAATTTTTTACATTTTTGATGTTATTTTTATTAGTCCCTGGATAAAGTAATAATGGAAATGAGTACATGTGAAGAACCACGAAATCCTAATGGCCCATCACCAATTGCAACTGCTTCAGGACAAAGGTAAGCTATTTCCATTAATCTGCATGACTGGCAAAGGGAGTCCTTTTCTTTGGTCAGCTCTGTTATCTGTAGTGATGGGACATAAAATTTCCTAATGTCAGACAATCTCTATTTCAGTCACCTTTCCCATCAAACAATTTGCAGTTTTGGTATTGTGCTGCCAAAATAGTAGAATTTATTTTTAGCCTCTTTTGTTTATTTTGCTTTCCTTGATATTAAATAGTAATGATCAACCAAAAGCTTCTATAAATGAGATAGTCTCTTAGTCTCTAAGTAGTTTTTTTGCCTATCATTTATTTATTCTGTGCATCAGTGGAACTTTTATGACTCTTAAGAGTTAAGTTGGTGCCTTAAAAAAATTATAGGCCATTTGGGTTATTCTAAAACTCATTAAATATAGAATGCTCATACTTTATACAAATTGGATTTGATAAATAAAAAATCAGATGCTAATAAAGTAGAAGCATGAGAGCCATTTCACAAAGTTTTGCTGAAAAGTTAGATCTTAATAGATCTTTAAAAAATTTCTTATTTATTGTATTCATTAAATTTGGATCTCATACTGTATTTCATTTCTTTAAGGCAGGATGTCTCCACTAATTTGGGGATTGTGCACCTATTCATATAAAATGTTCACATAGATTTTAATTTGATTAGTGCCTCTTCAAGTTATACAACATGGCAGCCTTAAACATTTTATAGTGTGCCAGGTTCTGTGTAAAACCAGTGTTAAACTCTTCTTTGGAATGGATGCATACGGGGTACCTGGCTGGCTCAGTTAGTAGAAGATGCGACTCTTGATCTCAGGGTTATAAGTTTGAGCCCTACATTGGGTGTAGAGATTAATTAAAAATAAAATCTTAAAAAAATAAAATAAAAAAAAAAATAGAATGAACATACACATCAGATACACAGACACACATGCATACACATTTCCACCTTCCTCTTTCAGCATGTTTTTATAGTACTTTATAATTTTGGCTTATGGTTAATCTACTTTGACATTTTCCAGACTTGCCTGATGGTAGCAATCACTTTGGGTGCTTATCAATAATCTATAGTCTCTTAGGGTCCTTTTTTTTTTTTTTTTTTTTTTTTTTGAAATTATGATTCTTGAGGTCTTAGAATGGTTATCAAGACTGTGATTATATATTTTCAACAATTCTTTATACCTATACGATTTGGGGAAACACTGATTTATTTGATTTTGTCTCTAAGAGATTAAAATACAGGGAAATTAATATTTAACAGGAGGGCCTTCTGTGTAGGACCGGTGAGTTGATAATAGTCCTATAGATTAAAAAAAAATTTTTTTTTAATGTTTTTATTTATTTATTTTTTTTGAAAGAGAGAGAGAGAGACAGAGCATGAGTAGGGGAGGACCAGAGAGAGAGGGAGACACAGAATTCAAAGCAGGCTCCAGGCTCTAAGCTGTCAGCACAGAGCCCGATGCAGTGCTCAAACCCATGAATTGTGGGATCATGACCTGAGCCAAAGTTGGATGCCCAACAGACTGAGCCACCCAGGTGCCCTGATAATAGTCCTATAGATTAATGATCTAGCAAATTTGTAAGTTCAGAAATTTGATTTTACCGTGTCATATAGAGGAGATGTACTTCTATGTGAAGATAAATCAAACTTAGAAGAAACTTACTTGAAAACTGGAGTTTCACCTTTTAAATTTACAATGGATGACATAACCAGAAACTTGTCTACCTTAGTCATAGATTCAGGCTTCATGCCTCTGATGGTAAATCCTCCAGTAAAGTCGTAACACTTTTTATTTTATTTATTTATTTTTTAATTTTATTTTTAAAATTTGTATCCAAATTAGCATATAGTGCAACAATGATTTCAGGAGTAGATTTCTTAGTGCCCCTTACCCATTTAGCCCATCCCCCCCTCCCACAACCCCTCCAGTAAACCCTCAGTTTGTTCTCCATATTTATGAGTCTCTTATGCTTTGTCCCCCTCCCTGTTTTTATATTCTTTTTCTCTCCCTTCCCTTATGTTCTCTGTTTTGTCTCTTAAAGTCCTCATATGAGTGAAGTCATATGATTTTTGTCTTTCTCTAATTTCACTTAGCATAATACCCTCCAGTTCCATCCATGTGATTGCAAATGGCAAGATTTCATTCTTTTTGATTTCGAGTAATTCTCCACTGTATGTATATGTGTGTGTGTGTGTGTGTGTGTACACACACACACACACACACACACACACACAC